GGGGACCTTCTGTCTCTGAGGTACGGATTCCCGCTCGTTTAAATAGACCTGACAAGGGCGAAGTACAAAGGGTGACCTCATGACAAAAAGGCAAGAGGGGACATTGCAAACTTTTAAAAAGGAATGGGGCACCACAGACTGGCATTCGCGAAGATCTGCAATATTTCGCGGATGGCCAAATCGCCACAATTTCTCACTTTTTGGGTGTGGGGACCCCTTTCAAATTTGTAACCGATGTCCGCAAATAAACGAGGAGGGGAGTTCTCGGCTGTCAAAAGTTAACGACCCACTTTGCTGGGGTACACTCCGCCCACGGCAGGAAGAACGTAAGTGCCCTCCCTTGAGGTTTGGGAGATCTTGATTTCCCTGTTCAAATGCCGGGCCACATGTCGGAAATTTTGTTGAACATGGAGGGGGGCAAATGACGGTCCCACTAAAAGTTTTGGGGAAAATGATTTTTTCAAGTACAGGAACAGTATCTATGGGAAAACAAGAGCTCACGAGCCTGGGTAGCATTCTGTACGTAATGTGCACGTACCGCTCTTAAAGCAGAAAAAAAATATCTTTACCAACATGGCGTGGAGTGCCTTCCAATACTAGGGTCGAAAAAAAGGGCATAGGGAAGTTGGTCGTGAAGTGAAAAATTTAGCCCACTTTTCGTCTGAAACTGACGTGGAAAGTAGTGAAGGCGGTCGATCGTTTCTGGAAGAACGAGAAAGGGGAAGGGGAAATATCACAGCAGGGAATTGCTTGACGTTTTCGTGGGACCGAGTTGGTCCGACTGGAACGGTCGGCATTTTTAAAATTGCCGCACCGAGAGGGAGGGCGGAAGCAAAGTCGAGGAAGCGAAGGTCTGATAAAACAAGAGTCAGTCGAGCCTCAGTACCTGAAGCGGGAGGAAACAGCACCGGCAATAGGTACAGAGGCATGAGGAAAACCTGAAAAAGGGCCCAAAAACGGGCGGGGGTCAGAACGGGGTGCGTATCAAAAGGGGGCCCGGGGGGACCATTTTATGGGCTAGGGGGCCATGGTTTGGTTATTCCTTTTCCCTTTTTTTTTTTAAGAAAAAAAAAAAGAAGAAGAAAAGAAAAAAAAAATAAAAAAAAGAAAAAAAAAGGGGGAAGGGGGGGGATAGGGCCTAGGAGGAATGAAAAGGGCCCGAAATCCCCCCGCGCCCAAGGGACCCCAGCACGCAAGTACGCAGATGCAGCATGGAAAACCCCTGCCCTAAACCCCACCCATCATGCCCAGTAAAATAACAATCCGGGATAGCAACCTCACATCTGCCGAGCTACCTCGGTGGACAAAAGAAGGGGGGCCGGAATCCGCCCAAAGCATACCTCCCGGCCACCACCCCCCAATCCGAAAGGGGGCTTCCAGAGATACCTCGTCGCCCGAAAGACACCCAAAACTACTCCGGGAACCGGGAAGGGACGGGACATCCCCCCGGGGATCCAGATTCCCGCAAACACCCACCGCTAAGAACCTCAACGGAAAGGGATGGACCCCGGTAACCTTTCTCCCCACCCAGGAACTAGCGCGCCCTTGGGGAGAAATCCCAAAGGGCAAAAAGAGGAAGGGCAAAAGGGGGGATGGGGAGGGGAGGAGAAAGGAAAAAAGGGAGGATGGGGTAGGGAGGGGGGGTTGGGGAAAATTGGTTCGTCTGAGGGGAAAAAGACCGATAGTCTAATTCCTCAGACCAAGAGCCCTTCACCACGCCAAGGACCCCCCTTTAAGAGGTGTAGGTTAAATTTGTTGTATACCCTGTATAGTTTTTTAAATTTCCCCAGGGTTTTCCATATCTTATTAAATTTTTCTTTAATGAACTTCATATTGTTTTGAGTGGCCCATTTGAAAGATTTGGGTTTAAATCTGCTTGGATCTTTTGGGGTTTTTTGATGGAGGACACTGTCATGGCAATTTGGTGTCATCCACAAAGGAAGACACAGAGCTATGGCTCAGATAAGAGATGAGGGAAAAGGGTGGAAGTGAGTACTGTGCCTTTTGGAAAAGAGCTTTTTTACTGTAGCGCCTCATACTTTACTCTTTTACATTTCTCTTTGTGTTCCATTTTGTTAGGGAAGTTATAATCCACTACCCAAATTTTTTCCCGTTATTCTTTTTTCACACATTTTGTGCACTATTACACTGTGGTTGCACCTGTCAGATATGAGGTGAGGAATGGATGGGGAAATGAGTACGTGCCTTTGGAACAAACTTTTCACTGTAACTGCCTCAGACTTTACTCTTTTACTATTTTTTCCCTTTTTTTCCTTTTTAGGGAAATTTAACCCCCTTTCCAACTTTTCCCCTTTATTTTTTTATCACCATTTTGTGCACTATTACCTGTGGTTGCACCTGTCAAAGGCTTTGCAATTCGTGTAACTACATCTGCATTTTGTTTACCCTATCCATCAGAACCTTTTCTAGGGTCCAGAGTTGGGGCAAAACAGAACAACCCGCTCTAAACCTGGGTGTAACGAGGGGACCCGGTGGCTGGGGAATCTTGCTTCTTAGAATCTTTTCAAAGATTTTAATTTTTGGGATGGTAGTGTACGTCTGTAGTTCTTTCAATGGCTTTACTGCCACCTTTGAGAGTGGGGGTAAATTTTGTTTTTTTTATTAGTGGGGATGACCCTTTCCATGCTCCCTCTCCATAGAAAACTGAAGGACGTGACGGGGGGGTTTTTGCATTTTTTTATAAAACGGATTCCCCCGAGTCTGGGCCCGGGGAGTTGTGGGATATCATTTATTGCCTTTTTTAAAGTTTGTGGGTTGGGGTAATATCAGAGATTTTTGAGACTGCCCAAATTTTGGGGCTCATTTAAAAAGAATTCAGTAGATGTCGACCCCCTTTGTCGGGGAACGGCTCACTGAACACCGAGTCGTAATTTGGGGCTTTTTACGAACTCACCATTTCTTTTTCGTCATCTGTGTAGTCCCTTCTTGCCCAAGCAGGGGCCCAATACGGTGTTGTTTTACCCTTAGATATGGAAATCATTTTTTTTTTTTATTTTTTTTATGGCTTTTAGTTCTTCCTGAGATTTTTATCTCCTTAAGATTCCTTAAGCTTTAAATTCAATATTTGCTATTTCTCTGACCAGTGCCTTTCCCCTTTATATTTTTAGAATAAATTTGGCCCCCTCAGCAGCCCCTTTTGGGTCCTTCGCCTTCATCTGTAAGGGAGCATCCTCCTTTCTATTTACATCTTCTCTTTCTTAACAAGGAATGTGCCTTTAGCAAAACTAAGAAACCCCAAGGTGTTTAGGATATCCCTTCCCCGCTTGTTTCATTTAGAACATGGTTGACTTGTTCCCATTTATGTTTTTGTTATTCAAATTGAATTTTGTGAAGACACCCTCATGACTGATCACATTTTTTTGGTCAGGGGGCCCGTGCAACAGTCTGTACCTTTTTTATTTTTGATCTGTATTTCTTTAATGGGTTTTATTCGATCAGATTGTCGTTGTTTTGTGAAGCAACCTGCTGATGTCCAGGCTGGACAATCACCATTTAAACCCCTTGACTGTCACAACCCCCCAAACCGAGGTTCTCCTATGTCACCAAAAAAAATAAAAAAAAAAATCTTTTAAAAAATAAAAATCTTTCCCGATTGAAAAGACAAAACCAAAAAAAAAAAGAAATTTTTATGGAAAACTGAGGGGAAATTTCGCCTCGCAAAGTAGCGATCTCAGTGATTTTACAAATCACAATTTCACCCCTTTGACCCTTTTTCAGCTAATTCCCTTGTTTCCCGTCATAGCTATTTCTTTAGAACTTTTTTTTTTCTATCGATTTAGTAAAGAAACTCCCATTTACCAATTTCAAACCCAATAACGCAGCAGAAATTTGCAATTTGGCCAATTTCACGAAATTTAAAAAATATGACAAATTTTAAAAAAAGGCCAAAAGAACAATCAGACATTCCTGCTCTAAAATAACTTTTTTTGTTCATCATCACGTCTCCAGCCCCTCTGATATTTCTCTTGCTTTTTATTTTTAATTTTTATTTAAAAAAAAATAGAAAATTTACTGTTATCAAATACGGGGTACGTAATAAATTTTACAAAAAATGGGCAACCCCATTCATACTCATATTGAATGGGTATTGGACATTTATTTGGGCAAAGACTTTTATTTTTTTACTTTGAACATCGGGAAAAATCAAAAATTTCCCCACTTTTAGCCCTTTCCGGTTTTTTTTTATGTAAAACCAATCAAGATCACCTCTATTTCTATAAAATGTTTTCCATTCTATCAAATGAAACCAAGAAAATGATAATACAACCATAAATACTATACAAAAATAGACCACAAAGTCGGCATTTTAATTAAAAAAATGGTCAGTTTTTTTTTTCTCATTATGCACTGCGTGCTGCAGGATTTTATTTATATGGTGCACACTGACTACACAGACCCATTCTCTCACATGTGGGCCTACCAGCTTTCTCCGGCTTGATTTGAAACCGCTTGAATTTATGAGTATCTATACGTCAAACACGGTGGCTTGTAAGATGTATATATACAACCGAAACAGTCAAAGGGTTAATGTTCCCTCTCCAAATTGCACATTAATTGAGAACTGTTTCAGCCTCATCATTGTGATTTATACTTCATGGCAAAGCTCTTTGGCTCTGGCTTGAATATTACCTGTATTGATTTACTATACAATACAGGCAAGGCCTGCTTTACAGAGCTTCACTTTACAGAACTTCGCTAATGCTGCAGTTTTCAGTTATATCCATTCTTCATTCAGACTTCCTACAATAAATATTTTCACCACTCACTACAAAGTACTGTATATGCATCTTTTAGGCCTAGCTCTACTGTTCACTTAATATATGATAGTGTAACCATGTTATCAGGCTTTTATATGCATTTGAAAGTGAAAAAAGGCTATGTTTCACCTAACAGTGATTTTCACTTTACAGCAGTAACCCTGAACCTAACCTGCTGTATAAGTGGGGCCTGCTTGTATAAGCAAATTACATAGTTATTTCATTTTAAATATGAAATAATGTATTACGTCAGTGTAGCTGCTCACCTGTGAACTCTGTATTGGAGCGAAGATCTTCCAGTACCTCTGGTTTAAGCTTGCTGTTTTGCTTTCCCATGGTTGCACGAGTGACCTCTTGAATATACTACCTCACCTAACACTCCTCACCTTGACAGCTCTGAAAGAAGAAATAAAAATGTGAATCTACATACAATATTAACATCTGCTATTAAATTAAAATTAGTTTTTTACAAATTTACAAAATTATTCATATCATTATGTACATTATTCATCATCCCAATGTGTACAGTATACTGTAGCCATATGTAATTTACAGTAATTAATATAATGCATGTCAGTGATTTCATCCTGTAACTGTTCTGCATTATTCCTCACATTTCTTATAACATTAACTTTCAGCACTCTTTAGATTTATTTCAATTAAGGGATTCTCATTTATTTAATACTTCAGCCCTCTGTATAATGGAGTAACAGGAAGTGAGAGTGTGTGAGTGAATGTATGTATGTGTGTGTGTGTGTGTGTGTGTGTGTGTGTGTGTGTGTGTGTGTGTGTGGTGTGGTGTGTGTGTGTGTGTCTGTGTGTGTGTGTGTGTGTGTGTCTGTGTGTGTGTGTGTGTGTGTGTGTGGTGTGTGTGTGTGTGTGTGTGTGTGTGTGTGTGTGTGTGTGTGTGTGTGTGTGTGTGTGTGTGTGTGTGTGTGTGTGTGTGTGAGGGGGGGAGAGGGGGATGACAACCAAAGTGAATAGAGCTGAGATTGTTTTGCCATGATAGTAACAATAATCAACAAGCATTTTTGCCAAACTGACTGACCCAGCAGATTTTGTTCTGTATTTCTGAAGTCTATTACATGGGGTCTGCTATATAGAGGGTTTATGTAGTATTTCTACTGTTACCTCTGAGTATTATGATTATTTGTTTTTATTTACATGCTTAGTGTCAATAGTTACAAATTTACTGAAGTCAACAAAATTAATGAGAAATTGGGAAATATTTGTCAAATTCTACATCAGGCAGTGTTTGATATAAAAGGAAAAAAATACACAGCATTTGGTAATTTTTCATTACTAGAAGGTAGATAATTCAACTTCTACAAGTATTTAGGGTTAAATTTATAATCATGCCTTTGCCAGATTTTCCATCAATTTCAACTTTGTACTACTCTCTAACCTATCCATGCCTCTCCTTTGGTAGCTGTGCATGGAGATCAATAACAGCTAATCATTTTAAACCTGTTACTACTCACCAAAAACAACTCTTGGTATAATCACTCATTCAGGTTCCAGGCAACCCCCCCCCCCCCCCGCTTCACACACACATACACACCCACCCACACATGCACATCTACACCCACACACATGTGTACCCCCCTCACCCACATGCACACACCTTATTCAAAAGTTTATTTGCTGTTGAGTAGACTTCAGGATGTACATGTTTATAGAGGGGCCACAGATATATCAGATCACTTTCTAGTTGTAGCTACACTGAGAGTAAAAGGTAGATGGGATACAAGGAGAATAGAAGCATCAGGGAAGAGAGAGGTGAAGGTTTATAAACTAAAAGAGGAGGCAGTTAGGGTAAGATATAAACAGCTATTGGAGGATAGATGGGCTAATGAGAGCATAGGCAATGGGGTCGAAGAGGTATGGGGTAGGTTTAAAAATGTAGTGTTAGAGTGTTCAGCAGAAGTTTGTGGTTACAGGAAAGTGGGTGCGGGAGGGAAGAGGAGTGATTGGTGGAATGATGATGTAAAGAGAGTAGTAAGGGAGAAAAAGTTAGCATATGAGAAGTTTTTACAAAGTAGAAGTGATGCAAGGAGGGAAGAGTATATGGAGAAAAAGAGAGAGGTTAAGAGAGTGGTGAAGCAATGTAAAAAGAGAGCAAATGAGAGAGTGGGTGAGATGTTACAACAAAATTTTGTTGAAAATAAGAAAAAGTTTTTGGATGAGATTAACAAGTTAAGAAAGCCTAGAGAACAAATGGATTTGTCAGTTAAAAATAGGAGAGGAGAGTTATTAAATGGAGAGTTAGAGTATTGGGAAGATGGAGGGAATATTTTGAGGAATTGTTAAATGTTGATGAAGATAGGAAGCTGTGATTTCGTGTGTATAGGGCCAAGGAGGAATAACATCTTGTAGGAGTGAGGAAGAGCCAGTTGTGAGTGTGGGGGAAGTTTGTGAGGCAGTAGGTAAAATGAAAGGGGGTAAGGCAGCCGGGATTGATGGGATAAAGATAGAAATGTTAAAAGCAGGTGGGGATATAGTTTTGGAGTGGTTGGTGCAATTATTTAATAAATGTATGGAAGAGGGTAAGGTACCTAGGGATTGGCAGAGAGCATGCATAGTTCCTTTGTATAAAGGCAAAGGGGATAAAAGAGAGTGCAAAAATTGTAGGGGGATAAGTCTGCTGAGTATACCTGGTAAAGTGTATGGTAGAGTTATTATTGAAAGAATTAAGAGTAAGACGGAGAATAGGATAGCAGATGAACAAGGAGGCTTTAGGAAAGGTAGGGGGTGTGTGGACCAGGTGTTTACATTGAAACATATAAGTGAACAGTATTTAGATAAGGCTAAAGAGGTCTTTGTGGCATTTATGGATTTGGAAAAGGCGTATGACAGGGTGGATAGGGGGGCAATGTGGCAGATGTTGCAAGTGTATGGTGTAGGAGGTAGGTTACTGAAAGCAGTGAAGAGTTTTTACGAGGATAGTGAGGCTCAAGTTAGAGTATGTAGGAAAGAGGGAAATTATTTCCCAGTAAAAGTAGGCCTTAGACAAGGATGTGTGATGTCACCGTGGTTGTTTAATATATTTATAGATGGGGTTGTAAGAGAAGTAAATGTGAGGGTCTTGACAAGAGGCGTGGAGTTAAAAGATAAAGAATCACACACAAAGTGAGAGTTGTCACAGCTGCTCTTTGCTGATGACACTGTGCTCTTGGGAGATATCTGAAGAGAAGTTGCAGAGATTGGTGGATGAATTTGGTAGGGTGTGGCAAAAGAAGAAAATTAAAGGTGAATACAGGAAAGAGTAAGGTTATGAGGATAACAAAAAGATTAGGTGATGAAAGATTGAATATCAGATTGGAGGGAGAGAGTATGGAGGAGGTGAATGTATTCAGATATTTGGGAGTGGACGTGTCAGCGGATGGGTCTATGAAAGATGAGTGAATCATAGAATTGATGAGGGAAAAAGAGTGAGTGGTGCACTTAGGAGTCTGTGGAGACAAAGAACTTTGTCCTTGGAGGCAAAGAGGGGAATGTATAAGAGTATAGTTTTACCAATGCTCTTATATGGGTGTGAAGCATGGGTGATGAATGTTGCAGCGAGGAGAAGGCTGGAGGCAGTGGAGATGTCATGTCTGAGGGCAATGTGTGGTGTGAATATAAATGCAGAGAATTCGTAGTTTGGAAGTTAGGAGGAGGTGCGGGATTACCAAAACTGTTGTCCAGAGGGCTGAGGAAGGGTTGTTGAGGTGGTTCGGACATGTAGAGAGAATGGAGCGAAACAGAATAACTTCAAGAGTGTATCAGTCTGTAGTGGAAGGAAGGCGGGGTAGGGGTCGGCCTAGGAAAGGTTGGAGAGAGGGGGTAAAGGAGGTTTTGTGTGCGAGGGGCTTGGACTTCCAGCAGGTATGCATGAGCGTGTTTGATAGGAGTGAATGGAGACAAATGGTTTTTAATACTTGACGTGCTGTTGGAGTGTGAGCAAAGTAACATTTATGAAGGGGTTCAGGGAAACCGGCAGGCCGGACTTGAGTCCTGGAGATGGGAAGTACAGTGCCTGCACTCTGAAGGAGGGGTGTTAATGTTGCAGTTTAAAAACTGTAGTGTAAAGCACCCTTCTGGCAAGACAGTGATGGAGTGAATGATGGTGAAAGTTTTTCTTTTTCGGGCCACCCTGCCTTGGTAGGAATCGGCCAGTGTGATAAAAAAAAAAAAAAAAAAAATATTCTTACTTTCTATTATGCATGCTATGTCTGCAAGACCCTCAACTCAAACATTAACCCAGAGCTTAAATCATATCTGGAGAGCTGAAAAAGAACACATGGATACTCACTGCCTGAAAATGTCAAAAGTTCCCCATCTCCCAACAGCTTTACTGTGGTAATATCATTAAGAAGTACCTATTAAATCTGACATCAATGTAATATAAATTAGCTTTGCAAATTATGGTGCTATGTCATCAGCACCTCTACTCAATCACTCCATAAAATCCAGATCACTGAACCAATGGAAATACTGTGCAATTTATTTGCAATGGACCATTTGTTATTCTCAACCTCTCATAGTACAGTGGACCCCCGGTATTCGATGGCATCGGTATTCGATAAATCCGGTATTCGATGCATTATATCGCAAAAAATTTTCCTCGGTATTCAATTGAAAACCCGGTATTCGATACGATTCGTACAAGACCTGTCCACGTGTGGCCTGAACTGCCCCTTGTGTGCCAGTGTTTACAAGCCAGCCAGTGTGCGCGCATCTAAGGATACATTCAGTACATTTCATATTATCACTGTGTTTGGTGCTTGTTTCTGCAAAATAAGTCACCATGGGCCCCAAGAAAGCTTCTAGTGCCAACCCTGTGGTAAAAAGGGTGAGAATTAGTATGGAAATTAAGAAAGATTTTGAAGGGTTTGGGGCTAACCCTGAGAAGCCTATACCATTTGTGGAATACATTGTGCCTACTTCAAAAATTAAGGAAATGTGTGCACAGTGGGTTGAAGTGCAAACCTTTATGGATGAAAATCACCCTAACACAGCTATTACAATGACAATGTTGTGGCCCATTTTAGACAAATCGTAAAGGAACGGGAGGTACAGAGCTCTATGGACAGATTTGTTGTGCGACAGAGGTCCAGCGACTCTCAAGCTGGTCCTAGTGGCATTAAAAGAAGAAGGAAGTAACCCTGGAAAGGACTTGCTACTCAAGTCCTAATGGAAGGGGATTCCCCTTCTAAACACTAACACCTCTCCCCTCCTTCCATCCCATCAATCATCACCAGATCTTCATTAAAGTTAAGTGTCAATTATTTTATTGTTGTTGTAATTATTCTATTGCATTAAACTTAATATTTCATGTAGTAAAATTTTTTTTTCATACTTTTGGGTGTCTTGCACGGATTAATTTGATTTTCATTATTTCTTATGAGGAAAATTGATTCGGTTTTCGATATTATCAGTATTCGATGAGCTCTCAGGAATGGATTAATATCGAATACTGGGGGTCCACTGTACTTGTTACTGTTGTCAATTACACAAGCTGTACTGATACCCTGTCTTATATAATATGCTAGGTCTAGATTTGAGTAGTATGTAAGCCTTATGATTAGTCTGCCTGAAATGCATTGCACTGCATAATTAGTGACTTCTTCTGTTTCTTGAGCTCAGTCAATAGAATGGGAGGCATACTAGCAAAATATCTAAGAATTTTATTAAATGGAGTAATGGAATCAACTTAGAATAGGACTCAAAGTCAGGAAAATCGCTGCTGCATAAATTGCGCCCAGGCTGCTAACTTTGCACCTGTGCAAGTCCCTAAGTTTTCCATTAAATTTCATACCTTCAGAAAGAGATTCTCTACCATTTCAGATTTTCTTTTTGAAGTGGACACTGAGAGCAATATTTATTTTGAGGGGTCTGGGCAGTGAAAGGGTTAAGATAGTATATAGAGTTACTTAAGAATGACTACAATCATACAGATACTCTTCACCTTCACTGCTGTACTTGAAGCCAAATTTCTTCTATTACAACTCCTCCTGCCTTCACTGCTGGCTCAATCCTGAAAAATAAATTTTTATATTAACACAGTGAAAGTATGGCATCATTCATAGTATAGTACCATAAATGTAATAGGTCAGTTATGAACTTATAGCAAAAAACTAAATCTGTGAATGTGTATGGTAGTGAAAGCTTCTTATCCAAGGAATTGGAACTGACCTCCCTTTCCTTGGATCAAACCCAATTGTCACCTGTTTCCCCAGGCACTGTATAACCTTTAAGGGTTTAGTGCTCTTCTCCCTTCCCCTTATGAATGAAATAATAATGTGAATACATATAACAAGAAGTATTTTTACATTTACTGTAATGCACCTGGGAATCTAGCATAATATAATAATTTTGTTGAGCTATTTATTGAACGTGTGTTGATCCAATACAGATTACAAGAAATAATTGTTTATCAGTGCTATAAATAAAAAGAAGTTGGATGTCCTACCACTGAGTGTTACAAAATTAAATGAGATGACAGAGTTTGAATATGAAGGAGTTAAAGGAATTAAGTTAGGAGTATCTGCAAGAACCAGTTAAGGGAGTGCTGGTAATGCTGAAGGAAAACAAAGTCTACAAACCTTCAAGAACTGTGTGCTTTAGAATACAAGTGCAATGGGAGAAGTGGGCAAAAGTCAGTATATATACACCTGGAAGTGAATGGAGTGCAAAGATGAGAAAGATTTTATTTTACACAAATTTTACTGGCAAGAGCTATCTTACCTTGGCTCATTTCAAAGTCCAGCCCTAAGTTATACTACTGCCCCCCCACCCAGGATGCCACCCACAACCCTAGCTCTGCCTTATTGCTAGGTTAACAGGGGCAGCAGGTGTAAGGAAACATGCCCAATGTTTCCACCTATGCCAGGGATTGAACCATGGACACCAGTGCGTGAGCTGAGTGCACTGCCAACTGAGCAGCTAAGTTGCTAAAATCTGTAAGGTTTAAGGAAAATGAGGCTCAAGGATGGAGGAGAGGAAAAGAATTTTCTAGTAAAAGTAGGCCTAGACAGGGATATTTGATATTGTTATGGTTGTTTAATGTATTTATAGATGGAATTTTAAATTAAATGAATGCCAGTGTGTTGGAGAGGTGTGAACCTAAAAGACTGCAAGAGCTGTAAAAGTCATTTTTTTGGCTGATGATACGATGTTTGTGGAAGATAAAAAAAAAAATTGCAGAGGATAGATGTGTGTGAATAATAAATGATTAAAAAGTAAAGTAATGAGAAGAGGAATTTATCTCAACACTGAAAGATTGGACATCATATTGGAGGATGTATGGAGGAAGTGCATGTATTTAGACATGGGTAGTTAGGGGTGGATGTATCAGCTGATGAAAGATGAGGCAAATCACAGAGTAAGGAGAGAAGGTAGATGGAGTGTAAAGTTTGTGGGATGAATGAAGCCTGCCAATGGATATAAGTTTGTCAATAGAGGGAGTGGAAACTAGCAATTTTTGGGATTTGATGTGCTAATAGTAAGACCACAGTAAATCTATGAAGGAATTTATGAAAACCAGTTAGCTAAGACGAGTTCAGGGTTCAGGAGGTGGGAAGTACAGCCCTTGTAGGAGGAAGGATGTTACAGTTCAGTGGATCCTTTGAATTGTGAAGTCCATGCAATTCTGTAGCAACAGCAAGAAAATGAATTATGGTAAATGTGTTTTCCTTCTTTGAGTCACCCTGCCTAGGTAGGAATTAAATGATGTGCTAAAAATACCCTACATATAATTTTCAGTAATATAATGTTCTGTACTTACTTCTTGTGCATTCTGAAAACCACAATATTATCACACTCGTTATATCTGGGTGTATGCCATGGCTCTCTATTTTTTCAGATTTTTTTGTAAAAAAAAAAATCATAAAATAAAATGACTGCTACTGATAGGTCAAAAAAATTCCCTTGGCACACAAATACATGGTCAATAAACTAATTACAAGAATAAAACTTCAATTATTTTTATTACTGGAAAAAACACAAGGTTTATATAAGTTTATATTCCAACAAGGCTGGTGCAACCCAAATACAATTAAAAATGTGTGACTAGATCAGTAATAATGAGCTTTAATGGCACCGTAATAAATATTAAATCCTGCATCAATGAGGAAGAAACCTAGTGATGGAAACATTCTTAAAATATGTCCTAAGAGTATGATTTTTTTTTAATTTATTAAAATTTTCTTAAAAATGAGATTAGAATTTTTTCTAATCAAATATATAAATTAACTGGGTAGGTCAGAGTTCTCAACAGTGTTTTGTGATACTCACATTACATTTGCCTCTAATATTTTGTCATCCTACAAGTATCAGTGACAGATGTTCTAACACAAGATAACCAATAAAATGAAAATTAATTTTACTAGAGTATTTATCACTGAAATGTCAAACACTTTATATACACATACCTTATTTTACTTTTTAAATATCAGTAATAGTACTATTAATATCAACTGTATACAACTGCTATACTATTGCAACAACAGAATTTTCAAGTACAGTACTACATACAAATAAAATCCACAAAATAACGAATGTTACATAAACTGATATTGATGAAACTTTACTGTTATAATATAGCAAAGGCTAATCAGTAGTACTTTACATAGTGTTTGTTTACATAACTTTTCTTAAGACACACTATAATTTATTATAGCTACAGATTACATAATTTTTATTTTTTTGAAAATTACATTAAGAAAATTCTCAAAATATTGACTGGTTAAACCATAACTACTACTGTATTATACAATGGTGTACTGTATCTGTTAAAAATTGTTAATTCTAGCAAACAATTAGATATAGAAAAATTTCATTACATATTTTTAACAAACAGGAGTAGCAGACAAAACTTTTAATGTACTGTATAATGTATAAGATTTATAAAGCAATATTTACAAATTTCAAAAAACCACATTTTAGTAAATCTCCTTTTTTAAGGCATAAATGGCACTTAAATCTCTCTTGCTGTTGCTCAGTCCATGGTACATTATGTACATTGTTTGTAAACTTTGGTTTCTCTTTTTGTATCTATGTAAATTATAGTACGTACTGTTTAATGACAAATCATGTGTTCAACCCTTTATGTAAATTATAGTACTATTCAATGACTTAGATTATGCATTCAACTGTTTATATAAATTACAGTACTGTTCAATGACTTAGATCATGTATTCAATTATTTATGGTCAATGACAACCCTACTTTTTAAAGTACTTATTAAAATCATATTAAATGTAGTAGTCTACTTACCTAAATTTATCACATGAAGTTGGAGTATTATAGTTTAATACTATGACACCTTTTCATCATTTAAATGTATATTATAAAGGCAGAATTCTTAACGAAGTCTTTTTAATGCTTTACAAACCTTCCATAAAATTTAATTAACAGTCATCTATTTTCTTAATATAACTGAAATGTTTCTGCTGAGAGTATTTTTTTCATATGCCTGACTCCAGGTACAGCCAAGTCTCCTCACTTCTGTTAAATGTAATGTGAACAGCTATTTTGGCTACCAATACCAGACAGGAAAATAATCTTTATTACTGCCTCATTTCAGACTCATAACTCCTCATCGCATCACTGACATGAATAAGACAAGATTGGGTTGCAGCTCTGTCTACGGGTGAGAAGGAATATGGTCTGAAGGATATTCAATGCTACAGTTTCATTCATACCAATAGCGACAATGAACACTTAAATAGGTTCTTAACAAAACTATTCTAGTGTACATACAGAATATTCTTTTGAGCTAATGGCTCTTCACCACAGGCTTCATCATAATTAATACCTAAGCACTTATTATCCAAAGAATGCCAGGCTGAAAACATTCTTTAAAACTCTGATGTTTATGGCAATAACCCACATCAGTCTTGTGGAGAGATCAGCACTTGTAAACCTTTCACGACTGCATTACTACCTTATCTGAAAAATTACATGTGTAGCTGTATAATACATAACACTCAAGTCACTGATCTCAACACTGGCTTAACTCTTGCAGATTTATATACGAAAATCAGGATAAAAGTGTTACAAGCATGGCACAGTCCCTTATCCTACAATGATATTTACAGGTATTACCATTTGTGCAGATTGTCTACTACAAGTTGAGCCAAGCAAAGCAAAAAAAAAAAAAAAGTAGAAATGACTTGGACATGAACCTCTCTCTTCAGTTATATTTAATACATAAGAAAAGAAGACAGAGCTCTTTATA